GGGGGCCATGCACGCGCTCGCGCAAGCCAGCCAGGCCCAGCCGTGGCCTCAGCCCCCTGCGGGCACAGAGGGTCATGCCTGGTGCCCTGTGACCGTCCTCTGGCCGCCTCCCTGCGCCGGCAGGGTCCTCTTCCAGAACTCGGGGCGTGCGTGGGAGGAGCTGGAGGCCAGGATCAACGCGGAGAACGAGGTTCCCATCCTGAAGACGTCCAACAAGGTGGGCGGCGGCTTTGTGGGGGCGGGGCGGGGCCTGGCCTGGTCTTGGTCTGCTCCAACGCCCTCCTGCCGGCTTTAGGAGATCAGCTCCATCCTGAAGGAACTGAGGCGGGTGCAGAAGCAGCTGGAAGGTTGGTGCCACCGGGCAGGCCGGTGGGTGGGAGTTGCAGGGCCCTGGGGGGTCTAGTCCTGTGGCGTGACCAGCAAGGCCCTGGGAGTCACTGCCCGCCCTTCCCCCTCAGTTATCAACGCCATTGTGGACCCCAGCGGGAACCTGGACCTGCTGACTGGAAACCAGGGCCGCGTGAGCTCAGCCCAGCCGGGAAAGGGTCGGCCCGCAGCCCAGAGCACGTCCTCGCCCGCCGTGGCCGACACCCTATTGCCCACCCTGGCTCTGCGGGGCTACCCGCGGGCCAACTGTGGGTCCCCTGGCCTCCCAGACCCCGCCTTCCTCCCTGACTTCCTCCCAGACGCAGAGAGGTTCCTGATCTAGGTGCCCGGCCGCCCTGCACCCTCCGCCGCCGCCCCCCTCGGCTCACTACCCAGACCCCCAGGCTATGACCCAGCCGCACCGCCAGCCTGGCCCCTTCCCAGCCCGGCCAGCACCCACCGGGTGTCCAGGCCCTCCCGGGCCCCAGGGCTGCAGGCCCAGCTCCTGCCCAAGGCCCGGCCCCTCCACCTGCCCACAGGGCCGCCCTCCATCCAGCCCACCCCCTTCCATCTCTGTTGTTTTTGTTGTTAGCTTTAAAGGAAAGAGTCGGTGCCATCGCCGCCTCCCTGGGGGGCTCTGCCCGAGGCCTGGGCACCGGCCCGACCTGCCCAGCAGGTGGGCTGGGCCTGGGTTGTTCAGTGCCAAACCCGCCCCAGACCCAGCGACCGGCCTGAAAGTAACCATGTGGATGTGGGGCAGGGACCCACGGCCTAGTGCCCTGGTGTGACCCTTGAGGCCCACACCGCGCCCGGCACACCGGTCAGCCAGCCTGCCCCTGCGAAGCCTGGTGCAGGGTACCCTGGGCTGGGGAGGGCCGGCCAAAGCGCCCGAGCGGCTGGAAAGCAGCTTCCGGAGGCTTGAGCCATGGCCTCCCGCCGCCCCGTCTGCTGCTGTGGCCCTGAGCCCTGGCCCGGGCGGGGTGGGGGACAGGGACAGATTTCTCAGGATGCGTCTGTGGGGACCTACCAGGTGAGCTACTGGATCCTCGCGACCAGACGTCCGGAGCCCAGAGCCAAAGAGCTGGCTGGCCGTGGGCTGCGGTGGGTGCTGCCAGGGGCGCCCATGGCCTCTGCGGAGCCCGGTGTCCATGTGGGGGCAGCGGTGTTTACATGGAGCGACGTGGCGCCCAGCGCGGCCCAGCCAGGACCCACCGCTTCTCGGAGGCCCCTCTGCGTCGCCCTCAGCGTCACGACGTCTTTCAGAAATGGTTATTTTATATGATTTATCATAGATTTGTTCTAATAAATCATTCTTCTATCACGTCGCAACACTAGGTGCCTGTCGTGACCTCACTGCCCCAGAGGGCTGTGGGCAAGGGCCTCCCTGGACTCCTGTCCCTGGGACCACCAGACCTGGCAGGGCATAGGTGTGGCCACTAGGGGGCGACCGTGGGGTCAAGCCCAGACCTCCCTGGAAAGGACCAGAGTGGTGCTGCCCCCCCCCCCCCCCCCCCCC